CATAATTAACCATTAGAATGTTCTTGTTTATGCTAGTAATGCAACATCTGGATGGATTCCTAAGATATCTTTGGATGACATGTTCTTATTATGGCAATCATACATAATACAATGTTTTCCATTGAGCACTACCTTGTTTTGAGGAAATTTAATATAGGATTGAATCAACAATGAGATGAATTTTTCATTCATAAACGGGAAACTAAAACTTCATTAATATTGTTCCAATTCATGTACAGATCTTATTTTCTAATTTGTTCCTGAAGATTTTCTAGTGTCAAAATGTACCTGTCATGATGATAAAAATATTTCTAAACAGCAAACCAACAGTCAAAACAATAATTATATGATCTTAATGACTTTAAATGATCAATGATGTTTATTTTTAATTTATGCATGTTGTTTGTTCCTACAGTCTGCATAGATACATTTGAAGACATGCAGAGTAGTAATCAGTGTCCACTGGATCATAAAAGTGAACCACACTGATATAACATGTTCAAAGAAAGCTGCAGTTGCTTTAAGGAACAGTAGAAGATGCCAACTGATGCCATGCCTAGGAAAGGGAAAATGTGTGTTTTTTATTATTTCTGATTAGCATGTAATCTTCAGAGAGGTTTAGTTTTTTAGATTGTTCTTTTTCACCTCTTTCTTGGATTTTCCCAATAGCTTTGTGCGAATTTTCAGAAAAGATTTGCCAAGGTTATGAGGTTAGATACCATTACAATACAAATAATATTTCTAAGTAGAAATGAGAGGCCAATTTTTCCACAAACTAAAAATATTGGACTTAGAATTATGTCACATTTTACCTGAATCATCCAATTCTGGCAATTCAGAAAATTATTTCTTGTAAATTACTAGAATACTTAGTTGATCTTTTTTTAGTGGTACCTAAAATCATACAATCTTCTTCTTCTCCTCCTCCTCCTTCTTTATTTTTCTTCTTTTTCTTTTTCATAGGTGCATTGAGAAAAACAGTGATTGAAGGTTAAGAAATGTTTTGTCCAAAATAAATGATAAAAAAGGTGAATTGAGACAGTGAGCTTATTGTACTTGGTAAGCAGATGATCAAGACCATTGAGAGCTGAAGCACACTCCATAAGGGTGTCCAGAGTCTTAGGCTCTTCACATGAATGTGTAACATGTGTAAATCAAAGAGGAGTCTAAACACACTAAATGAATTAGGTGAGAAAAATTCTTATCAAATTTTAGTGCTAAAACGAATTGAGTCATAGGAACTACTATGTGATTACATTTTATACAGAAAGAGATATTTTACAGCATTTTTAATTTTATATCTTTTGTTCAGATTATATCTCAGTGTAATTTTCAGGTCCCTAAGGCTATAGATTTACTTGTTAATTAAATATACTATTTTATATGATAATCAAAACACAAACATCTTACATGGATATAGGCTACCATGTGATATTTTCATGAATGAATATATCTAAATAACATATGTAAGTCAGGATAGATAATTTAACTTCTTCAAATACTGATGATCTCATTATGATTAAACTGAAAAATTCATTAGCTTCTTATATCATAATTTTACATTATCATTAATTAATTAATGACATTATATGAAGGGACTGAAACCTCTACCAGAAGTACCTATTGATCAATCTTATTTGTGACTTTTCTTCTGTTTCCCACCTCTATTGCCAGAATTTTTTTCTCAATTTATAAGCAACCATAATTTTTAGATTCCTCTCATGAATCAGATTACGTAATTATTTTTCCTGTGCCTGGTATATTTTACCTGGTTGTACTATCTCCATTTCCTGTTGTCAAAAATTACAGGATGTCATTTATTATAGCTGAATGAATACAAGGCTATATTTTTAATTAATAAGCAACTATTATTTGATTTGTACTTTAATGAGAGGATAATTCCATATTTTTATTTAACAAATAACTTCTCAGAACTGTATTCCTTAATCTTGGTGACATATTATCAATAATGTAATATATATTTATATAAAATTATCTCATTTAAAAATTCTTAATTGCATATTTCTATACATTGCACTATACTATGAATATAATATGAAAACATTCAGGTAAATTTTTATAGAAGAGGATTTTATAATGCAAAAATTTTGTCATCAACTCAAGCTTAGACAGGTAAAAAAAGTTGTGTTTGTGTGTGTGTGTGTGTGTGTGTGTGTGTGTGACATTCTAATGTATTGAGTTGTTAGAAGCTGTGTGTTTATTGAAGGACAAAACATTGTGTGGTTTTAAAGAGACATACCAAATTACATAGAGAGCAATTTTCTTCACAGTGTGGTTCCTTGAACAGCAGTGTTAAGATTTCTGTTTATTATTCAGCAATAAAGAAAAGCAGAATTCTGCAATTTGCAAGAAAATGAATCATGTTAAGGAAATAAATGCAGGAGGAATGCATAGAGAAGAACAGAGATATAGAAGTAGAAAGGGTATTTGAGAATAGAAAGATAAGCAGGACAGACTGAAGTTAAAAGAGGGTAAATAAGGATAAAAATGATTAAATTATTCACCAATAGACAAATTGCATAATGAAACTCCACTGTCCATATAATTGACACACAATACCAAATTTTTATTTTAAAGTGCATGTCATTTCCACCTAGCATCCAATGAACAGTAACTCTGTAGTATAATTCTCAAGTATCTCTACTAACTTCTGATTTTTAAGAGCACATGCTGAGGCAAGAGTGTTGAAAGCTTTATAAATAATCTAATAGGAAAGCTATTAAGAATTATTCAAGGAGGGAGAGGATGGAAAAAAGGAAGGGGAGAAGAGGATGGAGAGGAGAACAAGAGGGATTAGGAAGATTTAGTGCAGGAATAGAGGAGAGCAAGAAAAGAGATACCTTAACCAAGGGAGCCAGTATAGGTTTGAAGATAAATTTAACACTAGGGAAATGTTCAGAGACCCACAAAGATGACTCCACCTAAGAATCTAGGCAGTAGTGGAGATGCTGTCTTTGATACCCTTGCCCTATAATGAGATTATTGACTACCTTAATTGCCAACCTAGAGCCCTCATCTATTAGCTCATGTAAGCAGAAGCAGACACCCACAGCTAAGCACAGAGCCACACTCTTGGAATCCAATTGTAGAGAGGGAGAAATGATGAGCAAAGGAGTCAAGACCAGTCTGGAGAAACTAGCAGAAACAGCTGACCTGAACAAGGGGGAGCTTATGAACCCCAGTCGTAATACTGGGGAACCAGTACTGGACCGAAAAAAGCCCTGTGAATTTGGGTGCCAGTTAGAAGTCCTGGGAAATCTATGGGACATCTGACAGTGGAATCAGTATTTATCCCTAGTACACAAATGGACTTTAGGAGCCCATTCCCTATGGAAGGATACTATTTCAGCCCAGATACACGGAGGAGGGCCTAGGCTTCTACCAAATAATGTGACAGATGTTGATGGTCCCCCATGGAAGGTCTGACTATGCTTGGGAAGCAGGTGGAGGGAGATTGAGGTGGGGCTTGGTAGGGAGCATGGAAAGATGGGAGGGAGACGGAAAGGGGTGATAGATATGTAAAATGATTATTTCTAAATGATAAAAAAAATACTGTTAAATGGACATCTGAAAAAAAAGGTTAAAAAAATACCTAAAGAATTTGATGGTTAAAAGAATTTTCAGTCTGTTGCTGAAATTGTTAACTCAAGGACATATGGTTACTAAGTACTAAAATATAAAATGAAAATAAAAGTGCTACTTAAGGAAGAAGGGAAGGAGTAAGCTAAGTTTCGTTCAGGACAATGTCTTCTCTAAATTCCTTAGTGAATCTAACCTTACAATTAGTTTTCCAAAATTAGGGGTTTTTACATTCCCAATACACTTTTGGAAATATACATGCAAATAGGAATGCCAAGTTCTGACCTCTTATTTCTTGAAATACTTAATTGTCCCTCATTAATCTGTGTGAAACTTTGTTCTACTTCTCTTCATCGAGCAGCCCTTTCTCCTTTGAATATTGATTTACATACTGCCTTTCCACAGTTTCCCTCCATGGCAATTAATTAAAAAATATGACAACCCCACAGTTCCGTTGGCTATTAGTGAAGGTGGACTAGATAGTACTCATATCTTTTTATTTGAATATTGTTAAATGTAAGTCTTCTCTTTGTTTTACTTATTTTTGAAAATCTGCTAGATGGTAAAATCCTTGAAGATGGGCATTATGTTAGAATGGTTCTTTGGCATACTGTAAGCTTCTTAGCAAGAAATGCATATATAAATCCACAAATGCTTTGTTTAAAATAATCTGATAGCTGATTACCAAGTTATCTATTTCATCATAGTATTTTCCTCAAGCTTAAAGTTGATTTAACTGAAATTATATATGCCAATTTTTAATATCTGCATTATAATGTCCCTACCAGGCATTTCTTTAATTTGATGAATTCATCTATAATGATATGTATCTTGAAAAAAATTGTTTATGTCAAATTTGAGATTTTGAATGAATTGCATTGGATAATTTTTATATAGATGAAACTAAAATGACCAGAACTACTTTTGTTCATTTTGAAGACTTAAATAAAACAATCCTTTCTGCATTTGTGAATTTTCCCCCACAATCTAAGAGTTCATATTTTAAAGTCAATGGAAAGAAAATCTTGAGCAGTGATATAAAGTTTAGTGTTTCTATTAAGGTCTTCAAAATAAATTATCTTAAATTTCATTATTCTTGTTTCTTTTTTAGTAACTGCATTTCTTTTCATTAAAAGAAAGCAATGTTTATGAATATGCATGTCCTGGGGAAAATTCATCAGTAGAAGCTATTCATTTAAGTAGGTATTGTTACTGTAAGTTTGTTTAAATTTCAGTTAGGTGAATATAGATGGATGGCCTCTTCTATTTATAGCTCCTAACAATTACTGGAAGCTGCAGTTGTTTTAATGCAGTGACCTCAGCTGAACTTCCAAGTGAAATTTTCAAATTAAAAATACTCAAATTGTGCAGTTCTGAATAAAAATAAATTTGCTTTTCAGGGAGTTTGGCCGTTGGAAGGTAAATAACCTTGCAGTTGAGAGAAGAAATTTCCTTGGTTCTCCTCTGCCTCTTGCCCCTGAATTCTTCCGTAACATAAGGCTTTTGGGACGGCGACCTACTCTTCAGCAAATTACAGAAAACCTTATCAAGAAATATGGGACTCATTTCTTGCTATCTGCTACTCTGGGAGGTAGGAGCCTTTGAAAATTTCTGTGCTTGTGTTTGCCTGTGAATAAAATTATGTATTCACTCCACAGGGTGACTTAATCCATATCACCACTGTAGACTCTCTATCAAAAATCTTGATGAACTGATTGATCACTTAATGCCTTCTATAATATTCACACTCATGAAAAAGATGAAAGTATTACTTAGTATCTTCTTAAAAGCTTCCTAGAGCACAAATATACATGAAATGTATGGATAGTTGTGTCAATCTATTATACAAAGTGATATGGTAAATTGTGTTTCTAAAAAAGATAGCTTCAATGCAGGTGAGAGACATCACTTCTAGTGACAGAAAAAGAAAATGATTTCCAGGTGTAATTGGTAAAACTCTGTTTTAAAAATTCTGCTCTGTTAATAGTCTATACTTGACTTATGATTAAGGGAATGATAAAAATAAAACAGCTGACTGTTGATATTTAAAAAAAAAAGATTAAGACTTTGATTTATTTCTTAGGTTAGTAAGATTAAGAAACCTATTATTAACTCTGGTTAGATATAGGCTTAATAATGTGAATAGTAATCAGAAGTTTGATTAATCCTGAAGTTTGTTTAAGGAAATAATAATAAAATATGACATTGCCATAAAATAATTTTCCAACTGCCAGTTCTCTATATGGAGTTCTATGTATCTTCCATAAGCTCTGCAGATTCTAAGGAGTGTACCAATTAGTAACTGACATTCCTGATTTTATTATGAATTCAGTTGTAAAATTTGGACAAGAAAGCTGAGGAAAGAATATATGCATCCTTGTCATCTTCTCCAGAAATTTACAAAAGGTGGCTGTGCTGATCTTGTCAAAAGAGCAGGACTGTAAAGGACTGCATTCTTCATGGTTCTCAGCATTACAGGATCAGTCTTTGCCGGTCTTAGCTTCCCAAACACATCTGTTACAAATTCAGGTAGTTAATTATTTCCAAAAATATCCTGTAAGAAACTCTGTTTCACCTTCTAGGTGGGATTACCTTCTAGGTGGGATACTTCCAAGTCATAACATTTATGAAAATCTCCAAAATGTATCACAGGTTTTGCTTGTTTATCCTTCATGCAAGATATTTATTTGAAAGCCTGAGACAATATCTGCCCTGTTTAGCGGGATTTCAAACTTGGTGCTTACCATAAAATCTCAGATTACTGTGCTTTGGAAGTCCTAAATTACAAATCAAGTGCTAGTTTTCATCTTGAGCATCACATGTGCCTCTTCCGAATTTATTTAATTGCAGTGACTTTTAACTTACTACTTAATTGTAAGCGTTTTGAAGGCCTTCCTGGCCATGCAGTGATACAGCAAAACTATATTTCTGGACTATATTATCTTCCTATTTTTCTTCGTTCAGAGAATTCATATTTATTAAAAATACTGTGTTCCTTTGTAAAATGTTTTGTAACCTTTTTTCCTTCATCTTCTTAAAAAACAGAGACCTTCACTGTGTGTGTCATCTTTTTGTGGTTATAATACTTCTTGGTATGAGAGAGGCTTTGGTCTAACTGTCTCTTAAATAAACATCTCTACCAAGGACCAAGATTGCCAAATTTTATGACTAATGGAATGATAATTATGGAGGGTACAAGAATTCTAATCCTCAATAGAAGAAAGAAAAAAAAAACTAAAATGCTCAAATTAGTGAATTTCTCAAAGGTTCATAATTGAAGAGAATCATGATCATAGCAAAAGGCAGAAATGTTAAAAAAAAAAAAAAAAGAACGTTAGAATAGGATAAAGACCTCTCATATTTAGAACATGGCTGTCTACCAATTCATGTCACTATGATAAATGTGCAGATTGTAGGTTGTGGATACAAAGAACAGATTACTATACATGAATATAAATTTCTCATTTCCTTTTTCACAGGTGAGTATTAACCAAATAAAAGGATAGAGACAAGAAATATATGCTAATATGTTCCATTTATTTCCCTATTTAAACCGACTGAAGACATTAAAACCTCTTTATTAATCTTTATGATTGTGCAATTTATTTTATAGTTAAAGAGGCAACAGCATTTGTATAGAAGTCATGTGAATACTTTGGTTAATAAATGAAGATCCCTTTAGTGCCACATATACTTCAATTTCAACTTGTGTGGCATTTTAAGTTTCTGTCATTATACATACATACATACACACACACACACACACACACGAGAAAATTATATAATATCTTACAAATTATGATTTTTTGCAACCTTTGTCTATTTTAGTTTACAATGTCAAGTTCTACAAATACAATAAAATCTGAAGTACAAAAGTAACAGTGATTATAAAGATTCTACTTGTAAGAAGTTGAGTAACATGTGTACATTTCCATTTCCTTTATCAGCAAAACTATGTACTAGAAGAATGTCCATCTATAAAATAATGTTTATGGGACTGGAGAGATGGCTCAGAGTTTATGAGCACTGGCTGATCTTCCAGAGATACTGTGTTCAATTCCCACATACTACATTGTGGCTCACAACCATCTACATGCTGGACCAGTGCATATATGATACATAAATTTAAAAGATGAATAAATAAATAAAATAAAATTAATAATGTTTACAAGTAGGGAAAACAGAAGTACATGTGTCTTCCATGACTACAATTATTAACACATTTTTCACATTTTTCTAATGTTTTACTTAATTGATTATTATTTGAATTGAGCAATTTGTTTTTCTTTCACTGTTCAGCTGTTGTTGTTTTGGTTGATGTAGTTTTTGCTGCTGCTTCTGATACCTGTTTTCTAAGAGTAGTGTCAAAATCTTCATAAGACACATTGGGGTTAACTTCTCCAGTCACAGCAGGATATGTCAGTATTTGCACATTCCATATTATCTTCCACAAAATATACCAAATAATCTCATATTTATTAAATTTATTAAATTATTTATACCCATGAACAGATTAAATGAAATTACATGATCCAAACTCAACACAAGGCTAGATAATATAAAATAGTATGTGTATTAAGAACAAAGGAACAAAATTCAATGCACATTGTAAATAAACTAAGAAATTTAGGAATAAATTTATCCAATGATATAATTGCATGAGATTATCATATTCTGTTTTTAAGGAAACATGAGATATACAATGATTAACTTAAACCAATTCTCTCTGTAGCTTTTATTTCTTTTTGTATTGACCATACTAAAATACTGAGAATAATAGAACATCAGCACACTGAAGACTCATATATAAGTAAACTTTTAAAAACAAAAATGTAGACACATTATCATTGTTTTAATGCAAACAGAATATTCACCATAGTATAAACATTTGGAAAATATAAATTGACTTTAAAATATTCACTGTCAATATTAAAGACATGGAAGGAAATGAGTGAAAAAATTATTCTCAGAGTTCCTTTGGGCATTATGCTGTTGATTTAGACATAAATTCTAGATACTCCATTTGGAGCCTTTAACAAGATATTGTATGATAGATAAAATGGTTGATTGAATTATCATCCTTCAGAGAAAATACACTATAAAAAAGTCCTTCAACATGCATCATTTTCCCAGGGTCTTTTATTTTTATCACTTCCAGACTATTCATCAATGCAGTAATGCTACTTGCTGTAATTTTGAATGATGATATCTAAACCACATCACTGTTTATATTTCTAAAATAGGCCATTAGGTTTAAAGAATCTATACTTAAAAAGATTTCACTGGATTTATTGATTGGATGTATTGTTTTCCAGCTATAGAATATATTTCATAACAGTTTTGTTTTCCATTTTATTATAATATATAATGAATTCATAAATAAGAGTATATCTCTGTAATATACATGAAAGTAAGAAAGGAAAACAAAAAAATGACCTTCAAAGTATTAGAGAGACAGTAATTGAAAATATTATTAGATTTGATTTCTGGTTTCAAACCCTTAAGTAAAGAAATTAAAAAAGTGCTGATATCAAAATTTTAATTATTTTTTAAAATTCTTATATCACGTATGTACAATAAATTTAAATTTCCCTGATTGATATTTTCAGAATTAATTGGTTGATTCCACCAGTCACAGTAATACTGGAAATTGAACCTAAATCTGTGCTTTTAACCTCTTTCAAGAAGTGAGAAAAAACAATAACTGTTGTCAGTTCCTGCAAACCCTCCATCAAACACAGAAGAGCTGTATTACACTTGTTCCTCCATCCTTACAATCAGAAGCCTTTATTTAATTCTACTGCCATTTTGTGAAAATAAAAGAACAAAAGAGTTAAACAAAGAGTATTTTTTATTAATTCAGTTTTCCTGTATTTGTGTGTGAGGGGGATGTAAGTCCAGATACTATTCCTGTCATCAGTGTTCAGGAGAGATTTCTGTGGTGTAGCCTGTCGAACAGGCAATTTCGAAATGCCTGACACATGTGCTGGGGACCAAAGTCAGGTCTTCAGGAACAACATCAAGTCCATTAACCACACAGCCCTCTATTACTTCCCAGTAAAATTACTTTTCTAACAAACATTTTATTAATTGGGTCAAATTTGTATTAGAAGAAAACAGATGAGTTGTCCTATGCCACTAGGGAAAAAAAAATGTAATAGATTTAATTTTGGATGTAGGAAAATATAATTTCTAATACAAATATCATTTTGAATGTACATATTCATTAAAAGCCATAATTAAATACTTACCAAATAACAGTACATGTTGTCAGTTGCAAGTCTTCATGAATTTTTTTCTTTCTTTTTAAATTTAATTTATTTTTCTTTAATTTATTATTTTACAGGTCGATCACAGTTCCCTACCCCTCCCTCCCTCTTACTCTCTCTGCCCTGTCACATGCACCCTGACCACCCTCCCTCCCATCCCCCAACCCCAAACCACATGTACTGCTCAGTCCTTCTGGCTGAGACCCATATTCAGGAGGGACTGAGTCAATCCCATGCTAGATTCCCAGCTATCAATCTGGGGGACGTCAGCTCCTCCTTGGTCAAGTCAGCTGTCTCTATGTGTTTCTGCCTTTTGGACTTG